TTGATCACCTTAGTGAGTTTTTTCTCACTATCGAATTTTATTGTAGCACGGCAAATCCAAGCTTANTGTCCACCCTTATTCTCAATGGAAATCGCCTCTTTACATTTCTTTAGTATACGAAGACTCTCTTCGTCGCTCCAATCATACAATATCCACTGTTTGCCATTCACAACCATTATAGTATTAGTCAAAAAATTTAAAATCATGAAAAGGGNTCGCTTCTTTATGTTGATGATATGGTCATCACTGGTGGTAATCCTTCTTGGATTAATCAGCTCATATTCACTTTGGCAAGAAAGTTCTCCATAATGGACTTAAGTTTTCTTCATCATTTTATTGGTAATGAAGTTCATCGGTTTGCTCAAGGCTTATTTCTTTCTTAAACCCACTACGCTCTAGATCTATTAGATCTTGCTTCTATGGGAGCCTGTAAACCGATATCAACTCCAATGCCTTCCAAATGTCATATCCTTCCTCTGGATGATGACCTGCATGCCAACCCCACCACTTACCGTAGNATGACTCTATGGGAATAAATTTTAAATTTTTAGACTTTATTCATGACATAGAATAATAAGTATTTGCTGATTATTTGGAGCAGAAAGGTCGCTATGTGGTCAAAGCCCAAAAAAAAAAGAAGCAAAAAGGTGATAGTAGAGATAAAATAAATCGAACCCAGAATTGATTGAGACTAGTGGTGTTTGATTTGGATGGAACCAATAATCAAGATCCATGCTTTGTCACAAGCTCTTGTAGTTTTGGGTCAAATTCTATCGTTTAGACCTTCAAAACCCTATTTTTTGTCGTTTTAAAAAAGAATTCAAAAATTAATAATAAATCATAAGAGATTATAAATTCAGTAACATCTGTTGGGTTAGACTTCATATGACAAGTGTTTTTATGTTAATTAGTTAGATTATAATTTTTTATTTTTGGTAACTTTCATATAATTAAGGATTTTGCCTTTATCATTCATTTGTTCCGCTGCGTCAATTCAGCCCTAACCACCATAACTTCTGCTAAAATTATTTGGTAGGTATCGAGTCGTTAGGGTAGACTTTTCCTTAGGAAAAAGCACTTGTGATGCACAAAATTTGTTTTTTTTTTTNGGTTTGATCACCTTAGTGAGTTTTTTCTCACTATCGAATTTTATTGTAGCACGGCAAATCCAAGCTTATTTATTTGCACCTCCCAACATAGTCTTTTTATCTTGCTTCTTTATGTTGATGATATGGTCATCACTGGTGGTAATCCTTCTTGGATTAATCAGCTCATATTCACTTTGGCAAGAAAGTTCTCCATAATGGACTTAAGTTTTCTTCATCATTTTATTGGTAATGAAGTTCATCGGTTTGCTCAAGGCTTATTTCTTTCTCAAACCCACTACGCTCTAGATCTATTAGATCTTGCTTCTATGGGAGCCTGTAAACCGATATCAACTCCAATGTCTTCCAAATGTCATATCCTTCCTCTGGATGATGACCTGCATGCCAACCCCACCACTTACCGTAGTATTGTTCAGGGCTTACAATATTTTACATTTACTCGTCCAAACATTTCTTATAATGGCAACTTTGTATGCCAGCTCATATATGCTCCTACAATGGCTCACTTTTAGCTTGTGAAGCACATTTTATGTTATGTCCATGGCACCGCTCATTTTAGTTTTAGTGTATTGGCTTCTAGCACTCTTGATTTTTTTATTTTTTCATATGTTGACTGGGCTGGGTATTCCACTAATCGTCGATCAGCAACAGGGCTGTACGTTGTTCGATGGCAATTGCATCTTTTAGAGTGCTAAGAGACAACCCACAATTGCTAGGTCTAGTGCCAAAGCTGAATACCGTTCTGTGGCTTCCACAGCAACAGAACTCACTTGGTTTTCTTTCTTATTACATAATCTTAATATTCTCTCCCTCAACACCTTCGTTCTTGCACTGTGACAATATTAGTGCTTTAAATATGACGATTAATCCAGTTTTTTACGAAAGGTCCCAAACACATTGAGTTAGTTTATTATTTTGTTCTAGAAAAGGAGGCATTGGGTTCTCTCGAAACTCATTTTGTTCCATCGACATGTCAATTAGCCGATATCTTTACCAAGCCATTGTCCAAGAATTCCTTCCTACATTTTCATGACAAACTCAACCTTTGTCCAGATCCGCGGCCTTGTTTGAGGGGGAGTGATAAGGCCACTGATTCACAATCTGTTGACAACAACAAAGAGTCCCATTGTGCAGATACATCTCCAGTAGCTAAGATAAACATCACATGATTATCTTACTCTTTCCGTTATATATTGTATCTACCCATTTCATCAGGTCAGATACACTTTGTAATCTTCCTATTTATATCGAATACAAGGCACTCTCTTGATGATCCACAAAATAGGTCTATGCACAATCAATAGTTGAGTATATGATGTTGATTAATTAATGAAGCAATCATTAAAGTAATTAATAAAGGAGACAAAGATTGAGTCAACACATAGATATATAGTGGTTCAGTCAAGGCGACCTACTCCACTCTGAAGGCGACAACAGTGGCCGGAGGCTGGAGAACTTTATTAATAAAGTAGAAGATGTAAAAGAGAGAGCAATGACAAGCTCTGGGAGAGATTGGATTGTTGTGAGAAAGATAGTTTTGTAAATGGTGTAGAGAGAGATCCCCTCTCATGGAGAAGACTTACAATTTCTAGGCACAAAACCTTAGTTGAGGCGGTGACATGATGGATAGGTTACTAGTCATTCAGAGAGGATAAGTACAACAAGGATAAATACAACTAGAGATAGTCTTGATTTAGGAGAGTGGCTATCCCGATAATTACTCCTTACGTGCGCTATTATTCTTGGATCTCTTGAATCTTGGTTTGGACCGAATCAATGAACTGTACTTGACTTGTCTTTTAGCTTATTCGGGCTTACTTAATTAATTGGGTATGACCCAGCTAAATCTGAGCTCGTCATCCCTATCTCATCGTAAGATAGAATTGCTCAAAACTCTTTAAATATGTGGTTCCACATGTGAGCTTGGGCATGAAGTAGCTCACTGGGTTGCACTCCATTAGGCAAAGCCATCTCTTCAGCTAACTTAAGATGCTTAATACTTGATGCAAACTATCAAAACATTGATTTATATATGTAGTAACCTGGAATTGGATTAGCAAGATGTGCAAAATTAAACATTGACCCCTTCAATTGTGACCTCGATCTCACTTTGTCACTGGAACTATTAAAACTGTTCCATTACCCTCTCACTGTTGGCATTGATTTCATATTGCCTCAAAAGCAAAATTTTGTGATTGGGTGGAAAAATTCCCGTTTGTTGTAACAAAGTTAAGTATTTTTTTTTTTTTCATAAATTTATAACATAAGTTATACACTAGGTACTATGCAACTAACATTTGTAGTTAAATGTGCAACATGAGAAAAATAATAATTGAGGGAGCAACGTGAGACTGGAGGCCATAGTTGAAAGTGTCAAAATGTAATTTTTCCTTGGCAGTTGGAGTATAGAATTGATGGCATATAATCTTCTTTAGATAACAGCATCTCCAATCCTTACCTTTTTTTAAACCCAAATTTAAATTAGGGTAAAAAAACTCCTAAAAATCCTCTCCAATACTAGACTCATATTCATATTAAATGAAGGGAGACTTTTTTTTTTTATTCAAATAAAGTGAGACTCAAATCCATATCCAAATCTTTAATTATGAGATTTCACCATCCTTTAAAGATTCATTAGTCATATTTTATCCTCTTTTAAATTTGATTTTTTCTTTATTTAAATTTGAGCTTCTCTTCCTTTAAAAAAGGGTTTGCCGATTAGAGAGGTCTATATAAAATCAAGCTTTTTATCTTTTTTTTTTAACTCAAATTTGGGTAAAGGGTTGGGTAATGACTGGAGATGGTCTAAGAACATCTTCAATAGGCTCTCCATTATCACTCAATTCTCTAGTTTAGTGAGTCAATTTCTAAAATTTAATCTCCGATGGACTCTCTATTTAAGCTCTCTAAAAATAGAGAATCCAATTTGACTATCTGCTCTATTTTTTTGGACTAGTAAAGGATATCTTTGTCTTTTCGTCTAAGATATTCAGTATAAATATATCTCAACTACGTCAAGTCCACTTCTTCTCTTCGTTTGAATCTCTGAATGGATTTCTCCGAAGTAGTTAAATTTATCTTCAAACTCCATATACACAACATCAAGATATGACAATTACATTATTGCTTTAACTTGTTTCTCTTGTTAATTAATTGACACTCTATTGATTTCATTCAATATAAAGTACTATTAATTAATTGCCATCCCTCAACTTGTTCACTAGTATGTGTATATACATCTATATAATATATATCTATATAATAAAACATGATGGAAGTTAAATTTTATCCATATACATTTTTTTCGCTCATCACACAATCTCTCAATGGTGATGCACAGCCCCCAACGCACACACGTGCCTGACACACACCACTCTGTTAACCCCTTCTCCTCTTTATGCTACCCCTCTCCCTCTCCCTCTCACAGAACACACACATGCCCTTTTTCCTCTCTCTCCCTTTTTCCTATCTTTCTCCAATCAAGATGCATGCAATCATTAGAGGTGACCCAGCGACCACCACCGACGACACCATAACCACCACCAATGAATAGCCTAGATCCAAGTATCCCCTCTCTGTCACGCTCCCTTCTCTCTGTCTTCATCTCTTTCTCCCTCTCTCTGTACACATGGACACCCAATACATGCACACAACACACCCACATGCACAAACACACGCACACAACACAACATACCCACACTCTATCAAAATTTTGACTCTTTAATTTGTTTCAAATTTGTAGAGAGGCATTAAATTTTGGGGTTTTATATTTGTGGTTTTAATTTGGATTAAACATATTGATTGTGTTTATGTTTACTATTTATCTGCTTGATTTATGGGTTACACAGTGAATGTTCAAGATTGAGTAATGGACAATTTTTCTGATTTTATAGTATGGAGGATGGTAAAATTTGTTTTCTTTGGTGATGTTCTTGTTGAATTTACTGATGAGTTTGCTTAATTCGATGATTGNCGCTGTCTGTGGGAAACAAATAAGTTTTCTACTATCATCTATCTGTCCCTACTCTCTCCATGGCTATTCCAGCTAGGTCAATGAATCAGCAAGCGAAGGATAACGATCCAGCGCATTAGGAGGAGGTCCCGTCTCCACCTGTAGAACCCATCGTTGTGGAAAATCCTATAGTTGGACAGCAACTACTTGAGACAACGCAGCCGCTGGTAAACCAAAACCAATAGATTCTCCAACTGATGCTTGTCGTAGGAGGAGTCGTGCCCCAACCCGCAAGAGAGCAAGCGCCATAGCTCGTCCACCCAAGGTACCCTCCAACGTGGCGCCCAACGCTGGGGCTCCCCCTTGCAGCACCAGGGCGCCACCCAGTGTCAGGGAGTCCCTCACCTAGGCTCCCCAACTCCCTTTTATCATGCCCCGGCTTTGTTATCACACACTGGCGACCTTTCGATATAGGAGAATGTGGTGGAAAACCAGTACGTGTACCACAAAAGTTATTATAATGATCTGACAGAGGCGTCCTCAACTACTGAGATGAGAAAATTAAGGAGATTAAAACCAGCTAGGCGACCTCTTCAACAACATCAAGGCGCGAACGCTGAAAATAATAGATTATCTAGTAAGGCGCCCTAACACTCCATTCATGGTCGATGTGGTCAAGTACCCCTTAATTACACTCGAAGTTCAAATTGCCTAATGTGGAAACTTTTTACAATTCGAAAGATCCACTCGACCACCTCAACACGTACAAATCCCTTATACAACTCCATAATGTATCAGATGAGGTAATGGGCAGAACTTTCATTATCATCCTCAAGGGATCTGTACGCTAGTGGTTTGCCAAACTCAAATCATTTTTTATCAATTCTTTTGCTAAATTAAGCAAATCTTTTAACTCCCACTTCATAGGGGGAGGCTGACATAAAAAGACAGTCACCCACATGCTCACTATTAAGCAAAAATCGAGATAAAAATTTAAGGAGCTACCTTACTCAATTTAATGAGGATGCCCTCTAGATCGAAGAGTCAAATGATAAGGTCATCATGACCGCCTTTATCACTGGTTTGTGCTCATCAAGATTTATGTTTTTAGCTTTGAAAAAATACCAGCAAGCATACCCGAGCTATTATCCAGGACAGAAAAATAGGACAGAGGGAGTGTCCATTAAGAACCGCCTTGATCCTGCACCTTTGAGAGAGCGGCAGGCCTTCACACCGCTCAATGTTTCAATCGAGCATATCTTCAAATCCAGGATGATCTTACGATATGTTGGTCGGGAAAAATGAAGGCAACCCCAAATCGTAGGAACCCAATATGAATATTTAAATAACATTTTATTATTAAATTGACATCACAATAGGAAAATAAATTGCATAGCTCTAAATTTGTAGTTGTTTAAGCATCACATAGAATTTCACTTTATATTTGTGTATCTCATATCATGTTCTTATAAAAACTCACAATTTGTGTACTTTAAACTTTACAAAGTTTGAAGTTTTTTAGGTATTTTTACCTCGAGAACTTGAGACATATAGTGGAGATACATAAAAATATTGACGAGTTTTGATCCAATTTTTTTTAGAAGGTTATTTATATTTACTCAATAAAAAATATTTTTATTTAGCTAATCTCCTTGAATAATCACATTACCTTTGTTTTAGTCAATACCAATATTCTGAATGANAGAATATTTCTATTTAGCTAATCTCTTTGAATAGTCACATTACCTTTGTTTTAGTCAATACCAATATTTTGAATGATTGCTTAACTTTAAATTATTTGCATGAGAAGTGTGCTATCAATAACTCTCTTGAGATATAATTTTTTGTCATCTTTGACATTGTTTGAGCTTTAGCCTTATTTCTTTGAACACTTTATTCTCCCTAGAAGCCATATTTGAGCCTTTTTGAAAAAATATATTTGATGGTCATTGTTTTCTGGTTAAGGGCTTGACAACCAATCGAATAGTTGCAAAAAGGAGTAAACAAGGTGGCCTTTATGCCTTTTATGAATCTCCAATGGCCTTTTTCTCCCATCGATTTTTGTGGGTTGATAATGTTTGTTGGCATCATCGTCTTGGACATCCACATCACAGAGTCGTAAATAATTTGCATATCGAAAGTTTCTTTTTTTTTATTCCCAAAATAAGAGTGCTTCCGTATGTAATGCCTATCAAAGGGGAAAGTCGTGCCAACTTCCGTTTATGCCTATCAATCATGTAATAAATTGTTTTTTTTTAATAATATTCTTTGTGATGTATGGGGGCCTACCACAGTCAAATATCGCGAAAATTTTGCTTTAATTCTATTTTTGTTGATGAATTTACCAGATTTACATGGATTTTCCCAATGTGCCAAAAGTCGGAATTATTTGCTTGCTTTGATAAATTTTGTGGAATGTCAGTTTGACTCTAAAAATTGTGTGATTCAAAGTAACGAAGGAGGTGAATTTTCAGATTGAGAGTTTAAGCAACATTTAGCAAATAAAGGCATTCATCACCCATCTACTGTCCCAAGACACCGGAGCAAAATGGGAAAGCAGAGCGTAAGCATCGCAATATCACTGAGTTGGGGCTCACCAAGATGTTTCATTCTCAACTTCCTCGTTTTGGGTTGATTGTTTTTCTACAACTGTTTTTTTGATTAATAGGTTACCCTCTCCAAATCTTGGGGTGGACTCTCCCTTTTTATCGTATCTATGGTAAGCATCTTGATTACTCTACATTACGGGTGTTGGGCTCAAAATGGCTGCCCTTATCTTGGTGCCTACTGACAGAACAAATTACAATATAAATCATGTCCATGCGTTTTCATTGGCTACCACACAAAACACAAAGGTCATAAGTGTCTTTATCCTCCCACTGGTTGGGTATGTATTTCTCGATATGTTGTGTTTGATGAAATAGTGCTCCTTTTCTGTGAGCCTACTCAACTCTATAGGTGTGCTACAATTGAGGGTGAGCTTTGCACCTTTTTTGATTGGGCAGAAAAGCAAGCTACTGCTGAATCCTCCACCTGTTCCCCAGCTCCACCTCTGTTGGCATTTGCCCCTCCAGTTGGGTCTGCCTCACCATTATCCACCTCTTCTATGGATGCTTTTGTCAACCCAGCTATTGTTTCGCCTTCCTCAGCTCATGCCCATTCATTTGGGTCAGTCCTAGATCCATCGGACTTGCAGCAAAGTGTTTCACCTCACCCATCCACTGCCCAGTTCCTCTCACCAGCTTCCCCCACTAGCTTGGCTGAACTTCCATATAATGGCCACTCTAACTCGGTCAAAGGAAAGTGTTCGTAAGCCTAATCCAAAGTATTTGAATTTTCACGTTGCTCGGTATTATGCTCATATCCCTTCTGAACCACATTTGATCACAGTGGCACAACGTCATCCGGGTAGGGTGGCTGGTATGGATGCCTGACTGGTTACTCTAGCTGCCAATAAGACATGGATTCTTGTTCCTTTATGTCCTAATGTGAATGAAGTTGATAGCAAATGGGTGTACAAGGCTAAGTTAAATCTGGATGGTTCTCTTCATCGCCTTAAAGCTCGGTTAGTGGTCAAGGGCTTTAATCAAGTGGATGACATCGATTTTTCTGAAACTTTTTCCCCAACAATTACACCTGCCAGCATTTGTCTTGCTCTTATTATTGATGTAGTCAAAGGGCGGGAGATTCATCAACTTGATGTCAAAAACGTCTTTCATGGCTTTCTATCTCAGCTAATTTATATGAAACAACCTCCTCGTTATGTTGTTTCAGCTCACCCCACACGTGTCACCTTCATTGGGCCTTATGTGATCTCAAAGAAGCTCCTCGTGCTTGGTTTGATCACCTTAGTGAGTTTTTTCTCACTATCGAATTTTATTGTAGCACGGCAAATCCAAGCTTATTTATTTGCACCTCCCAACATAGTCTTTTTATCTCGCTTCTTTATGTTGATGATATGGTCATCACTGGTGGTAATCCTTCTTAGATTAATCAGCTCATATTCACTTTGGCAAGAAAGTTCTCCATAATGGACTTAAGTTTTCTTCATCATTTTATTGGTATTGAAGTTCATCGGTTTGCTCAAGGCTTATTTCTTTCTCAAACCCACTACGCTCTAGATCTATTAGATCTTGCTTCTATGGGAGCCTGTAAACCGATATCAACTCCAATGTCTTCCAAATGTCATATCCTTCCTCTGGATGATGACCTGCATGCCAACCCCACCACTTACCGTAGTATTGTTCAGGGCTTACAATATTTNTTGGGTAGGATAAGCCAAAAAAAAAAAATTTGTAAAGTAATGGGTAGGAAGATGGAATACCATAATTCATACCCATAGGGTAAGGTGAACACTCCTAAATGTGGATTTGAGAAGAATCAGATGTACTTAATTTATCCCTAAACGTGGAGAGACTATTTCTGTCACACCAACTCTTGATGCTCTCCCTAAATTACCTCCACGATGAGTTGAGTTGTCTTGTAAAAATATTACTTTCAGTATTGTATTGAGAAAACAGAAATGGAAAAAAATATGACTTAACCATGTTAGTAGTACCTAAAAAAATAAAAGTTTCGATTGGGTGAGAATCAAAATTGTTGGGATCAACTCTAACATTATAAAAATAATAATCTTAAAAACTCGGAATAGTTCTCAACGTTTGACAATTAGGATCGAGGCTAATCAGCCAGTGTTGCAAGTAGAGATGGTAAATGAACGGTTTGGTTTTATTATGTGTTGGTTCAAAGTGAGTTGAGTGCAAAACAAATTCAATTCGTTTTTAACCAGTTTAATAAATTGGTCATAATGGGTTGACTACATATAAAATAAGGCCGTCATAAATTTAATATATCAAAGAATTAATATTCGGGATCACATTATATTTTTTCTTCTCTTTTTTTTTTCTTTTTCGTTAGCATTCTGATTCAAGCTTTCGCACACCTTTTGTAGGCCTTTCAATGGACAATAATACATAGCAAGTTTTATTTCGGGTGGTGGAATAGTTGGGTGAGAGATAGAAAATTAATCTAGTGGACATCCATTATTAATTATGAAGAATGTTTTTCAAGTTCAATATCATAACAGTGTTTAGGGGTGTTCAGCCTACCTTACGGGTAGGAATTATAGTATTTCGTCTTTCTACTTGATACTTTGCGAAAGAATTTTTTTTTGGCATACCATATCCGACCAAGTTTACTATTCTTACCCGAATTCTGTCCAAAATAATCGGGTAAGAAATCAGGTGAACACATATTTTTTAGTTATTAATTTTTGAATCATTTTAACAATTTAATTAAGCTGCACCAATTAACTAACACCATAAATCAATAGTACTAAAGAAAACATAATAAATGCAATAATATATAAACAATTACAATAAAACACAACAAGAAAGTCATAAACATCAATACATCATATATAAGAAAGTCATAAATATCAATAAAACATTGGGGTTTGTAGACTTTTGGATCTTAATTTTTAGGAATTAACACCCTAACAGTGTTTATTGCACGCTTTGTTGCTCTTGATTTAAGACAACACATACGAGGTTGAATCAAGGATAAACTTCAATAAGAGACCTCAATCCTAGTATGGGACTTATTTTATAGTCACTGAAACCAGCATCAAAGAAGAGCTTTGCCCGCTCTTTCTCATTTCTCTGTCTGCCCGTGACCAGAACCATCATCAACATATCAAGAAAGAGTTGTGTTTCAATGGAGTTGTCATCCTCTTTCTGGTTCTCCAAAACCATGTCTATGATAATTATCTTTCCTCCCNGCATGCCAACCCCACCACTTACCGTAGTATTGTTCAGGGCTTACAATATTTTACATTTACTCGTCCAAACATTTCTTATAATGGCAACTTTGTATGCCAGCTCATATATGCTCCTACAATGGCTCACTTTTAGCTTGTGAAGCACATTTTATGTTATGTCCATGGCACCGCTCATTTTAGTTTTAGTGTATTGGCTTCTAGCACTCTTGATTTTTTTATTTTTTCATATGTTGACTGGGCTGGGTATTCCACTAATCGTCGATCAGCAACAGGGCTGTACGTTGTTCGATGGCAATTGCATCTTTTAGAGTGCTAAGAGACAACCCACAATTGCTAGGTCTAGTGCCAAAGCTGAATACCGTTCTGTGGCTTCCACAGCAACAGAACTCACTTGGTTTTCTTTCTTATTACATAATCTTAATATTCTCTCCCTCAACACCTTCGTTCTTGCACTGTGACAATATTAGTGCTTTAAATATGACGATTAATCCAGTTTTTTACGAAAGGTCCCAAACACATTGAGTTAGTTTATTATTTTGTTCTAGAAAAGGAGGCATTGGGTTCTCTCGAAACTCATTTTGTTCCATCGACATGTCAATTAGCCGATATCTTTACCAAGCCATTGTCCAAGAATTCCTTCCTACATTTTCATGACAAACTCAACCTTTGTCCAGATCCGCGGCCTTGTTTGAGGGGGAGTGATAAGGCCACTGATTCACAATCTGTTGACAACAACAAAGAGTCCCATTGTGCAGATACATCTCCAGTAGCTAAGATAAACATCACATGATTATCTTACTCTTTCCGTTATATATTGTATCTACCCATTTCATCAGGTCAGATACACTTTGTAATCTTCCTATTTATATCGAATACAAGGCACTCTCTTGATGATCCACAAAATAGGTCTATGCACAATCAATAGTTGAGTATATGATGTTGATTAATTAATGAAGCAATCATTAAAGTAATTAATAAAGGAGACAAAGATTGAGTCAACACATAGATATATAGTGGTTCAGTTAAGGCGACCTACTCCACTCTGAAGGCGACAACAGTGGCCGGAGGCTGGAGAACTTTATTAATAAAGTAGAAGATGTAAAAGAGAGAGCAATGACAAGCTCTGGGAGAGATTGGATTGTTGTGAGAGAGATAGTTTTGTAAATGGTGTAGAGAGAGATCCCCTCTCATGGAAAAGGCTTACAATTTATAGGCACAAAATCTTAGTTGAGGCGGTGACATGATGGATAGGTTACTAGTCATTCAGAGAGGATAAGTACAACAAGGATAAATACAACTAGAGATAGTCTTGATTTAGGAGAGTGGCTATCCCGATAATTACTCCTTACGTGCGCTATTATTCTTGGATCTCTTGAATCTTGGTTTGGACCGAATCAATGAATTGTACTTGACTTGTCTTTTAGCTTATTCGTGCTTACTTAATTAATTGGGTATGACCCAGCTAAATTTGAGCTCGTCATCCCTATCTCATCGTAAGATAGAATTGCTCAAAACTCTTTAAATATGTGGTTCCACATGTGAGCTTGGGCATGAAGTAGCTCACTGGGTTGCACTCCATTAGGCAAAGCCATCTCTTCAGCTNCTCTTGATTTTTTTATTTTTTCATATGTTGACTGGGCTGGGTATTCCACTAATCGTCGATCAGCAACAGGGCTGTACGTTGTTCGATGGCAATTGCATCTTTTAGAGTGCTAAGAGACAACCCACAATTGCTAGGTCTAGTGCCAAAGCTGAATACCGTTCTGTGGCTTCCACAGCAACAGAACTCACTTGGTTTTCTTTCTTATTACATAATCTTAATATTCTCTCCCTCAACACCTTCGTTCTTGCACTGTGACAATATTAGTGCTTTAAATATGACGATTAATCCAGTTTTTTACGAAAGGTCCCAAACACATTTAGTTTATTATTTTGTTCTAGAAAAGGAGGCATTGGGTTCTCTCGAAACTCATTTTGTTCCATCGACATGTCAATTAGCCGATATCTTTACCAAGCCATTGTCCAAGAATTCCTTCCTACATTTTCATGACAAACTCAACCTTTGTCCAGATCCGCGGCCTTGTTTGAGGGGGAGTGATAAGGCCACTGATTCACAATCTGTTGACAACAACAAAGAGTCCCATTGTGCAGATACATCTCCAGTAGCTAAGATAAACATCACATGATTATCTTACTCTTTCCGTTATATATTGTATCTACCCATTTCATCAGGTCAGATACACTTTGTAATCTTCCTATTTATATCGAATACAAGGCACTCTCTTGATGATCCACAAAATAGGTCTATGCACAATCAATAGTCGAGTATATGATGTTGATTAATTAATGAAGCAATCATTAAAGTAATTAATAAAGGAGACAAAGATTGAGTAAACACACAGATATATAGTGGTTCAGTTAAGGCGACCTACTCCACTCTGAAGGCGACAACAGTGGCCGGAGGCTGGAGAACTTTATTAATAAAGTAGAAGATGTAAAAGAGAGAGCAATGACAAGCTCTGGGAGAGATTGGA